ATTATGCCAGTATCATTTTAATAACTAGAGCTTGATATAAGTATTAATACCCAGAAAAGCAAGGTGTCTTGTCTATTTTTGGTCTTTTGTATTTCCTTGTAAATTTTAGAACCAGTAGCTCCTTCGTCCAAGTGACCTGCCTCAGCTCATGTTGTGGATTTTCCCCAAATTCAAAGGCCCAGGTACCCCAAACAAGCCACAGCCAGCCTGTGCCTTGTAGTTCTTGCTAAGTGGCCCCAAGCCCAACACAAGTGGCAATCGGTCTCAACTTGTATTTTAACTCTCATCAGCTGGCCACGAGTGCTGGCCAGTCTTGGACTGGAATCGAGCTAAGAGACAAGCCTGGCAAAAGTGGCAGCTGACCTCAGCTCACATCATGGTACCTGCCAAAGGGTCCCAAGGCCAGTGCAAGTAGTAATCAACTGAAGATTACTTTGTAGTTCCTACCAAAGGCACAAGTAGTGGCTGATGTTGGCCTACACCGGAGCCCCTCCCAAGTAGTTTCATACCCAAAACACCCAGTGGCCGGCTTCAGACCACACCAGAGAACCATCCAACCAGCTCCACAAATGATTCACCGAAAGGGCAGACTCAGCTGGCATTAGAGCCCCGCTAAAGCAACTCCCACTCCATGGAGTCAGTCTCCATACAACAGCTCATCCACTGTAGTCACAGCCTGCCTTCAAAGCCTGGTGTTAACCCCACCCACTGATGTACCAACAGTAATCAAGGCCCAACTACAAGAGGGCCCACATGAGCCACACAGGGGGTACCTAGCTCAGGGAATCAGGGAGACTGTGCTACTGGGCCCCATAGGACACCTACATAAGGCCACTCTGTCAAGACTGGGAGACAGAGATTTACCTAACACATAGAACATATAAGAAGTCAGCAAAATGGGACAAACAGGTCCCAAATGAAAAGCAGGACAAAACTCCACAAAAAGGACTAAAATAATAGACAATCTACCAGAGTTTAAAATACTCGTTATAAGGCTGCTCAATGAACTCGAGGGAATAGATGAATTCAGTGAGAACTTTAGCAGAGATATAAAACAAAAAGAGGAGATGGAAAACAGAAAAGAACCAGTCGGAAATGAAGGCTACAATAATCGAAATGACTACATAAGACGGAATCAACAGATTACATGAAGCAGAGGATCAAATTAGTGATCTGGATGATAAGGTAGCAGAAAATACCCAATTGGAACAGAAAAAATAACTTTTAAAAAAGGATAGTTTAAGAGACCTTGGATACAACATTAAGTGTATCAACATGTGCATCATAGGGGTACCAGAAGAGAGACAGCAGTGGATTGAAAACCCATTGGAAGAAAAAATGGCTAAAAACTTCCTTAACCTGACAAAGGAAAGAGTCACATAAGTCCGGAGAATCCCAAACAAGATGAATCCAAAGAGGCCCATACCAAAACACATAATTAAAAGGTCAAAGGTTAAAGACAATCTTAAAAAGAGCAAGAGAAAACCACCCTTGTAGTTATGTACAAGAGAGCTCCCCTAAGACTGTATCAGTTGATTTCTCAAGAGAAATTTCGCAGGCCAGAGGGATTGGCATGAAATATTCAAAGTGATAGAAGGCCTATGACTAAGATTACTCTACCCAGCAAGGCTATAATTTATAATTGAAGGAGAGAGTTTCCCAGACAAGAAAAAGCTAAAGGAGTGTATCGCCATTAAACCAGTAGTACAAGAAATGTTAGACATCTTTAAGATAAAAAATATGAATGAGAAAATATAGAAAAAAATTCTCATAAAGGCAAAAACAGTAAAAGTAGTGCATTGACCAACTATAAAGCTAGTGCAAAGGTTGAGACAAAAGTAGGAAGATCCTGTGAAATTGCAACATTACAGGATATACAGAAATACATGTATAAGAGGTAAAAAATGAGAAACACACATGAGGGTGTGTAAAATTTGTGATTTTAAAATAGTTTGAACTGAAGTGACCACTAAGACTGCTATAAACATAGCTTGCTATATATGAAGCACATGGTAACTGCAAACAAAAATCTATAAAAGATATACAAGAAATACAGAGAAAAGAATCCAATATAACACTACAGAAAATCATCAACATACAAGAAAGCAAGAGAGGGAACAGAACTACAAAAACAATCAAAACGACGAAAAGGCAATAACTACATACCTACTGATAATTACTTTAAATGTAATTTAAATAGAAAAAAAAACAGGAAACAATACCATGAATTACATACTAAGAAATTGGACAACCTAGAAGAAATGGATAAACTTATAAGAGTGAACCATGAAGAAACAGAAAATCTGAATAGACCAATCACTAGCAATGAAATTGAAGCAGTAATCAAAAAACTTCCAACAAAAGCCTTCACAGGTGAATTCTACCAAACATTAGAGAATTACTACCTAGCTTTCTTTATTTCAAAAAAATTAAAGAAAAAGGAAGGCTTCCAAACCCATTACCCTGATAACAAACTGGACGAAGTCATTATATAAAAAAAAAATTATAGGCTAGTATCTCTGATAAACATAGATGCAAAAATTCTCAAAATACTAAACTGAATTCAACAATACATTAAAAAGATACACTATGATCAAGTCAGATTATAGCAAGGACGCAGGGATGGTTAAATATCCGCAAAACAATGTGATATATGACTAACAAACAGGAATAAAAATTTCATGATCTCAATAAAATGCAGAAAAAATATGACAAACTTCAACATCCATTTATGATAAAAATTTTCAGCAACATGGGAACAAAGATTTAAAATGATAAAGGCTATGACAAGCCCACAGCTAACTTCATACTCGAGGGTGAAAAGCTGAAAGCTTTTCTCCTAAGATCAAGATGAGATGTCCACTCTCAACAGTATTATTCAATATAGTATTGTTAGGTCCTAGCCACAGCAAACAAAATGAAATCAAAGAGGAAGAAGTGTCACTACTTGCAGACGACATGACACATATAGAAAACCCTAAAGAATCCATCAAAAACAGAATAAATTCATCAAAGTAACAAGATACAAAATTAATATACAAAAATCTGTCACATTACACTAATAAACAGGAGAAATTAACAATCTCATTTACAATTACCTCAAAAATAATAAAATATCTGCAAATAAATTTAACCAAGGAGGTGAAAGACCTACACTCTGAAAACTGTAAGACATTGAAAAAATTGAACACAAATAAATGGAAAGATATACTGAGCTAATGGACGGGAAGGGTTAATATAAAAATGTCTATACTACCCAAAGGGATCTATAGATTCAGTGCAATCCCTGTCAAAATATCATGGCATTCTTTTCAGAACCAGAGTGTAATCCAAAATTTATAGGGAATCAACAAAGAACAGAAACAGCCAAGAAGAACAGTTGCATGTATCACGCTCCCTGATTTCAGAATACACTACAAAGCTATAATAATCAAAACGGCATGGTATTAGCACAAAACCAGAAACAGATTAATGGAAAAGAATGGAGAGCCAAGAAATAAATCCTCACATAGTTAATTATGACAAAGGAGGAAAAATATAACAGAAATTACAGTGTCTTCAGTAAGTGGAGTTGGGAAAACTGGACGGATACATGTGAAAAAAAGGAAACCAGACCACTCTCTTATACCAAAATAAACTCAAAATGGATTAAAGATTTAAATGTAAGACCTGAAACTATAAAACTTCTAAAGGAACACAGGTAGTACTATTTGACATCAGTCTTTGGAAGATCTTTTTGCATATGTCCCCTTGTAAAAGGGAAACAGAAGAAATAAACAAATGAAACTACATCAAACTAAAACACTTCTGCACAGAGAAGGAAACCATCAACAAAACAGCCAATCTACTGAATGGGAGATCGATCGATCTATCTATCTATCTATCTATCTATCTATCTATCTATCTATCTATCTATCTATCTATCTATATTTTGGTATGGGAGAAGATATTTGCTAATGATACATCCAATAAGGGGATGATATCCAAAATATGTAAGGAACTCATACAACTCAGTAACAACAACAACAAAAAATCCAATCACAAAAATGGGCAGAGGACATGGAGACAGTTCTCCATACATAGAGATGGCCAACGGACATAAGACGTTCAGTGTCACTAATCATCAGGGAAATGCAAATCAAAACTTCAATGAGATACCACCTCACACCAGTTAGAATGGCTATTATTAAAAAGTCCACAAGTGTTGGCGAGGATGTGGAGAAAAGAGAACCCTTGTGCACCGTTGCTGGGACTGCAAACTGGTACAGCCCCTATGGAAAATATCGCAATTCCTCAAAAAACTAAAAATGGATATACCATACAACCCAGCCAATTCCACTTCTGGGTATCTATCCAAAAGAAAAAAGAAAACTATGTTCACTGCAGCACTATTTACAATAGTCAAGATATGGAAGCAACCTAGATGAATGGATAAAGATGAATATTTACACAGAGATTACTCACCAATTAAAAAGAATGGAATTCTGCCATTTGCAGCATGGATGGACCTAGAGGGTATTATAGTCAGTCAGTCAGACAATACAACATGATTTCACTTATGTTGAATTAAAATCAAAACAAAAACAGATGCATAGAAACAAAGAACTGCTGATGGGTGAAAAAGGTGAAGAGGATATAGTTAATAAGTGATAAATTTGCAGTGACAGTAATTAGACTTAGCGTGGTGTTCATATCTTTATATGTTGAATCACTGTTATATCTGAAACTAATACTGTATGCCAACCATACTTTGATAAAAACATATTTTTAAAATACTGTTAGATCATTGGTATAGGTAAACACTTGAGAAGTATTATTTAAGGTAAAAAATTATCAGTGATAGGAAAAAGTTGCCATTAAACTGAATAGTGTGCTTCACTGAACATTTGTACTTCTCTATCTGGTACTTTTTAAATAGGGATATTAAGATGGCATAGCATCTATCTTCCTTTAATGTTTTCTTCCCCAATTTGATAAGGAAAAAAAACAACAACCCAATGTTCATGCTTAAAAGACAGCCATGATGTTTAATGTGGTGCTGGGACACTGGGCCACATGGACCAACAGACCTAAATTTATTCCAACCCTGTATTACGTTAATGTCCAATAATATAAATCAATTTAATGAGAATTTCTCTATTTGGAGATGAAGAAAAGGTCTTTGAGTGTAGTTATTTTAGAAGGCTCTTCTATTTACATATAAGAACCAGAATTTATAAACAACGCAGCATATCTGAATTGATGAAAATACTTTTTAAACATACTAGTCTCTTCCTCTTCTACTCTTAAACATGAATCAGTCTTCACTTTCTACTTAAATGAATTGTAATAAGCAACTCTCTACAGACTAGATATTTGGAAATCAGTAACCAAAGCGAAATCTGTTGAATAAAGCCAAACCTGTTTAAACTAAATTTTGTTAAGTATCATACATCCTGTCCACTACCCACTTACTCAGTATTTTGATATTGGGTAGTACCTATTATAAAATAAGAAAAAAAAGAAACATTAGGAATCTAATATGAAAAATATTGCAGGATGGATTGCATAAATCAGAAATCACCTATTCTAGTTGCTACAATCTTCTAACACATTCTAAATTTCAAAATGACAGGAATAATTTAAAAAACCCAACACGTCAAACACTTAAGTATCTAGGTATAATAGTTCAGTAAACAAACAGGTTTGACTCAAGGCTTTGAACATGTTACTTAGAAACATTAATATTTTGGACCCAAATACTCGAAGATCATTAACTAGCCCATAATGCAGTTTGTGTAAATCTGCTGTACATATCAATCACATAACAGCAGATGACTCTAATCTTACTCTAACAGAAGTAGCAATAAAATCAGAAAGCAATACTACTTTATAGGAATTAGATAATCAAGATAAACAGCACTGGGATAAAATGGAGAATTTGTTTCAGCTTTTTGTTCAATAAGCCTGCTCCTCATTCTTAGATAATGAGGATAAAGGTATCACAACCAAATACGGAAAACTGCTTCCTCTTTATTTAGGCCTTAGGAAGAAAATTAACTTTGGTGACATATAACCTTAAAATATTGTTTTACATATGCCTAAATTGATAGGACTAAATGATCAGAGAAATAATTTCTGTAAAAATTGGCCAGATATTACCAAAAATCTAACATACAGTATAATTCAAATTATATAAAGACTGCTTGGGATCATAGCATTCAAATGTATGACAGTTGTTATCCCAAACTAACAGGTGTGAAAAGTATTTGCTCTCATGCTGCTTTGGTCCAAAAAGAGTAGAGCTGAATCAGAAAGAGTAAACTAAGTACCTAATCTTTTGCCAACATTTAGACTTATTGGCAGCAGAAATATCCATGATGAATAGTTCTACTATAACAAAGTATAATTTTTCCATGAACACATCACAGTATCAAATAAACTTTGAGAATATGAAGAAACCAAAAAAGAGCTACCAAACAAAAACGTGTCTCCCCTGTATCTATTTGAAGGGGTAAAACAGTGAGATTAGAGGTTTGATGATGCTAATATGAAAGGAAATTACGTATTGTATTTATTTCTTATTTAATACAACTCTTACTCTTTACAAAAATGGTTTTAGTCATGCCCATAAAAGTGTAACCCATGGCATCTGAAAGCAAACACTCTTTGTAATTACTTAAAAGGGCCTTTTTAAAAATTATAATACAAAGGTCTGTGCTCTATAAGCAGTCCTCCACTGTGCATTATAACAATAAGGCTTACTTTTAATACAAAGACCAAGTGTTTGGGAGTTATGAACCACTGGACTTAACAAACATCATTTTATAGTTGCTTTTTGCATCTTTTTTGTTTTTGGAATCCTCCACTTCATCAGGGTGCTCAGTAGCCTGAAGTTCTTCGGCAGATTCTTCTTTCTCCGACTCTGAATCACTTTCAGAGTCATCTGGACTTTCAGGATCAGGTGAATCATCATCATCATCGTCATCATCATCTCCAGCCACATGATCTTCTCCATCATGATCTTCTACCTAAAAACACCAATCAACAAGCTCTTAAATACAATTTTCAAGTACAAACACTGGGAAAGACCCTAATATTTTTCAGTCTTAAGACAGCCCATTCCCTAGCCATTAAATCAACAGTTCTAACATTCTATTATAACCAGAGGCTGTCAAAGGAAGAGAACTGAGGACTTGGGCATCTCCAAGTGTTTGATATACTGGGCCCTGAGTAGGATTGTTTTAAGACTTTGAAGACCACTCACCTTTGTGTTCCCCATCCTCAAATCGTTTGAAAACAACATGAGACGATTTTTTTTTTTAAGTAAATAAGGCAAGTTAACCACTGATACATAGAAATGTGGAAACCGTATTTTACATATTACATTACTTTGGAGAATTAACCAGTAGTTATAATATGAAAAGAAATGACTTAGAAAACTGAGAATTCTCTCAAACCAGTATTTGCATGACATTTCATGTAACTTATATGTTCACAGCTATTTAAGATGTGCCCTAGGGGATACACAGAAACCCACCCACACTCAAGTGGTAAAAAATAACGACAAAAACATAAATGGGGGGGGGTAGTAAAAAAAAATGTAATTTTAAAATTAAAGATATGGAAAAATGGGAACACTCGTGCCCTGTTTGGTGGGATTGCAAATTGGTGTAGTCACTATGGAAAACAGTATGGAGGTTCCTCAAAAAATTAAAAATAGAACTATCATTTAACCGAATAATTCCACTTTTGGGTATTCATCTAAAGAAATGCAAAAGACTAATTTCAAAAAATATATGCACCACTATGTTCACTGCAGCATTATTTACAACAGCTAAGATATGGAAGCAAACCTAGGAGTCCATCAACAGATGAATGGATAAAGATGATGTGGTACATATATACAATGGAATATTACTCAGCCATAAAATAAAATAAAATAAAATAAAAAAATAAAATAAAACATGTATGGAGACGGTATTATACAAAGTGAAATAACTCAGGTAGAGGAAGACAAATACCATGTGGTTGCACTTATATGTGGGATCTAAAAACAAAACAAAACAAAAACAGATTCAATAGAACAGAAAAATAAAATAAAATCTTCCATGGAAGGATCTAGAATAAAGATACTCTGCCAAGTGAAATAAGTCAGAAAAAGACAAATACCTTATGATTTCACTTATACGTGGAATCTAAAGAAAATAAATGAACAAACTGATGTAACCATGGGAGATGGGAGGGGGGCTGGGGAGATGAGCATGAAACTCATTAAGAAGTACAAATTGCCAGTTACAAAAAATGGTCTTGGGGATATATAATAGATATAAGGGATACAGTCAATAATACTGTAATTACTATGTATGGTGCCAGATGGGTACCACAGTTATCGTGATCACTTCATAAGGTATATAACCGTCTAATCACATAAGCTGTATACCTGAAACTAATATTTCATGGCAACTATAACGGGGGGGGGGAGATGTGCCCCAGTGATTATCTATACAGAATTTACATTAAACTGGTATCAGAAAGCTCTCTTGATTGCTACAGTAATCTAACAGAAATAAATGCTATCAAATTGGAAATTGAGTATCTTCCCATTTAGTGAAAAATACATTCATTACTACCTCACTGAAGCCAAGTCCACAATGTCGTCGATATCTTCCTGACAATTTACTGTCCATACTTTGCTGATACTGAGACTCCAGTTCTTCATTAATTTTCTTGTCTTCTTCCCCTGCATGTCCAGTGTACTTTGGTTATATTTCAGTCAAATTAATAAAAATATTTGATTACACAAAAAAACCCATAATACAGATGCTAATATTCAAGGGTTGATTTCTCTAACTGTGATTAATTTTATAATTAATTTTGTGAATGAATTTCCATACCATCGTAGTTACCTAATGGACATAAAATAACTGAAAGATGTATTTTATGATTACTTCTTTGGGAACCAACCCTCTGAACTAGAGAAGTGTTTATGAAAGATGAAGAATTTATATATTTCCATGTGATAATTCACACCAGACCCAAGAGTCTCAGAAAGAAGAGCCTGAAGTTCACGTATTGTAAATATAAATTACTAAGAACCCTGGGCATTATGTTTTAGCTTATTTATAGTCTAACTGCTCTCCTGAAAATTTTCTTCTAGTCACATAAAAAATTCTACAAACAAAAGCTTCTGTCTTTGAACAGAAATAATGAAAAGACATGCAATTCTGACAGAGAATGGTTAAATAACCTTACAATGGTTCTCCTTTATGCCTTTCTTTGCATATCAGTTTATTGAAGTAACATAAACTTATTTTATCACGCAACATTTGCTATATATTTTTTACGTATACTGTTGTTTTTTAGTTATGAAGCAGAAAACTAAACTACCCGATGAACCTAACAGCGCAAGAACTAGACATTACAATACAATCAGAGCTGTCTGCACAACATTCTAATTTGTAAAATTTCACATTTTAATTAGACATGTTGGTGCTTTGCATTATTTTTATTCATAAAGTCCTAGTTTTAAAAGAATAAATGCAGCAGTTAAATATATTTCCATTCTGCAAGGCTCAGACTTTTAGCCTTTTGTAGCAATGCAAATCAATTTGAAATTAACACCAGCATAAAAGACCTATCAATTTGCAAAATGTGCTACATATTCTAGATCAGTACAAAGTTGATTTAAATAATTTAATTAAAAGTTTTGCTAAATATAAACATACCAAGGTCATTATGCCCTATTGTTATTAAGGTCCAAGATTAGGGTCAGTTTTACATAGGAGAAAACTTCACTTTTCAGCAAACTGAATTCAAATCCAAATCCAAATCCATTTTCAGTTCTTTTTAAAAAATTTTCGCACCCAAAATTAAAAAAAAAATTAACTTCTTCAGGTTTTGCAATGAGTTTATAGTCTTCAAAAATTTCAGAGCAAAACTTAGTATATAAATTATAAACTAGTATAACATGCCAACTATATCATATGTTAAATACCTTATAAAATAAAAAATATAAATTCCATACTATAGTTGTCAAGATTTGGCATAAAATCTCACTACAATTAAAATATATGTTGTGAATCAGTAAAATTGAAGACAGAAAAGGGTTAGTTTCATGGTTAGAATATCATACTGATGTATACTTTCAAATCTTTTAAAAATCGAAATACATACTAATTGTTACATATACATGTCACACACGATATATGTAACATGTTTATATATACTATGTACATTTCTGATTCTATTATTTTAATTATCAACATAATTATACACAGAAGTTAGAATATCCTGAAATATGTACAAATACTTCATATTTCAAATTTAGCACCCCCACTTTAATTATATTTTAGTTTCTTACCTGTTCGGAAGTGAGATGTTGATTTGTGATCTCCTATAACAAGACGGCCAGTATGTTCTTTCTATAAGGCAGAAAATGTGTTAGAATTCGAGACTACTAATTTAACATAATTACTTGGTGTCTACTCTGTGCCTGACACTATTCCAGGCTTCTGGGATATAGTGCAGAAAAAAGATTACATTAAGATCCTTACTTTTATTGAACTTACATTCTAGCAAGGGTAGGTACAGGAAGGGGAAATGAAATCAGTAATCATAGTATCTTAGAAGGTAGTAAATGCCATTAATACACACACAAATAAACAGAACAGTACAGAGTACGTAGAGAGATCAAGTTGGATTTTTTATTTTTATTATTTTTTATTTATTTCTCCCTCCCCTTAAGTCTCCCCCATCCCCCCTTCCATCCCTGACCTATGGATGTTGCATTTCCCCTTAAGAACTAGATCTCTGAAGGCGGGGAGTCTCCTCCCACAAGATTATGGAGTGTCCCTGGGGCCTGGGGCTCCCGGGGTACAGTCTGTGGCTCAACATGGGGAGCGAACCCAGGACCTTCTGCGTGTAAAGCAAATGTGTGAACCACTACACTATGGAGCCACCTCTCAAGTTGGAATTTTAAATGAGAAGGATAACTAGAAAATGTAGTGATCTAAACATTTTCTTTCCTAAAAGGCCAATGAAATGAGTTCTAATTTTTCCATCTTCTCTTTTTGATGCCTCAGGCATATTTCATGGAGACAAAGCAAATGAGATTATAAGATAAAAATAAAATAGATTTATAATGAACTAAATGATAGATCTTTAATATAAATGAAAACAGTCATTACTATTTACAACACATCACAAATAGTTAGCTCATTATTCTCTGACTACAAATAAACACCCAATCTCAAACTGTCAAAAATACAATTTGAAACAATCTAATTCTATAAAATATAGAAATAAATCTGATTCGAAGTTACCAACTGATCTGGATACATAATCACTCTCAATTTATCAGTTCCAATCCACTCTTTATGGTCCACATTTGTTTCATAAGGCAAAGAAATTGTTCACTAAAACAGAGTGACTTTGCAAAGCAATCTTAATCATTTGTGAAGATATAGTAAATCTTCTATAGTAAAACAAATCTTCCTATCGTGCAAGGATGAGACACATTGTCTATACCCAAAGATACTACTGAAAGCTTCAAGATTAATGCTTATTGCCTTACATGCCATTAACACATAAGCAAATCGATGATTCAACATGCTGCTTCTTTCCATCGCAGTCTCATTAATGGGATCTGAATATATAATGACATCGAGTTATTCTAGGATGATAGTACTATCTGCCTATTCATATCTTTCCAGCTAGTTCTGTGACAAATAAAATACTCATGGTAGCTGGCTAGGATTAGGAATATACTTTGTGGCTGCAAAACAGAATCTGAGGTATGCTAAACAGCCAATTTACTAGTAGCCATATTTCTTTTTTAATTGTTCAATTTGTTCTCCTCCCCAAGTTTTACTGAGATATAATTGACTATTTATGGCTAAATTTCATACATTTTATATTTGGGTATTCTTCCTAAAGAGTTTTCATTCCACTAGGTTGAGCGTATCGCTAAACTATTACTTACTTTATATATCCTTAGCAAATCTTTTATTTGCATGAACCAAGACAAACCTTAGGCTACGTTCTATAACAAATTACAAATTATGGGAACTCTGGATTAACAAGATATTATACAAATGCTTCCTTTGTATAGGTCTTACTGTTTTTTTTATGATCTCTCCCTACCCACTACACAACCTTACTGTTGTAGTTTAGCTAACTCCTCATCCTTTCAGATTCAGATCAATTCTTTCTATGGGAAGATTTCTTGTTCAGCTAAGCCACAGTTAGCTATCCTTGTCTGTTGATGTGCATAGCTCTTTCAAAGCAATTATAATCTCATATTGTTATTATCTGGTTTCTTCCATTACATGATGGCTCCAAACATGTTATTGATATGTAACTGCCCCCCATCCCCAGGACCTACTACAGTGCAAATACAGTCCCATGTGAATAACAAAAAACAAAAAGCAGAATTTCATTTTAAGGATCTTAACAGAGAAAAAAGTTTTCCTATTTCTTTCACATTAAATTTGTAGGAAGACCACTGGGACAATGTTAGGAAAATAAATTTACTTGCTTACAAAAAATAATTATCTAGAGATCACTGTATTTTCATATAAAAATGAATTGCTAGGAACAAAAAGAGTTTTTTCCAATAGGTGATGTTTTCCTGGCACCTGTATTTTGTATCTTCTATTATGTTGATCAAACTGAAAGGGATTTCTCAAAATATATTGAACATTTTAAAAATTAGAATTTTGGTAAAGACTATTCCCTTAGCTCCTACTTCAAGGGCTAGAAGAAGATATAAAATATGAAAGACCTAACAATTGGTCTACCCAGAAATATCCTGTATCGAATCATCAGGCAAACAAATGGCAAATCATAATCTTTAATATCTTTCTTCCATAGGAGTCTCCTCAAACCAAGTTTTTTCTCTATATAGTCTCTAAACCTTACTGCCCAGAGGCAATGAGAACCCTAAGAAACAGTATAAATTTTAAGTGCTCAGGTTAGCTATATTTCCCAAAGCCTAAAGTAATCATGTGGAACAGGAAAATGAGATCCAAGTGTATTTGGTTCTTCTCGTTTACACAAAAAGGGACATTATTTTCCCAGAAGATAAAAATGCATACTATCTTGATGCTTACCTTTCCTGCGCCCATAAGTCTCAAGAACTTTTGTTTTCTTTCTTCATTACCTAAGTCTGCTGCCTCCCAATTGCTAGATCCAAGCTGGAAAAGAAATTAGTCAATTAATTTTTTTGCATAATAATATTAAAAAACTTAGTCTATCAGTAAATTGTTTTTTTCCCCTGACAGTTTTAACTATAAACAGGGCTCATTCTTGCTTAGAAAGTTAAGAATATACATCATATTTGAATTACAATATACAGCCAGTCTCCAACCTATGATGGTTTAACGCAAAGATTTTTCGACTTTATGATGATGCAAAGGTGACGCCTATTCAGTAGAAACTGGCCAGGCTAACCTATGATGTTCGGTATGTTAGGTTTGCATTTTTGATTTATATTTTCAACTTACAATGGATTTATCAGGATGTAACCTCATTTTAAGGAGAAGAGTATCTGCACTCCTTCTGTTACCTCAAGGTGGAATCTTTTAGTTCTTTTGCAGCCAGAGCCCTAGTTCTCAAGTTTGCTTCTATCAGAATCACCTGGAGGCCTTGTTAGAACAGACTGCTGTTTCAGATTCAGTAGGTCTGACGTGGGGCTTGTGGATTTCATTTCTAACAAATTCCTAAGTGATGCTATTGATGTGGGGGATCACACATTGAGACCTACTGCCCCAGAGCCCTAGAGCACCTAGTACTGTGAACCCAGAAGGCGGCCACAGTTGATAGCTGAAGTTAAAAACTCTGGCTTTAGTGATATTCTAAAGGACAGTATAACATCAGTCTATTGGGCCTAAATTTAGCTTTTTTTTTTTTTCCTTTTTGAGCTCTTCTAATTTTTTAAGGCTATGTTATGACTTTCATTCTTTCTTAGAAGTCTTCCAAAGAACAAAAACAAAATTTACTTATTTTTTAAATGTACAGAATAAAACTCATTCTATCTTAAAATTATCAAATGGGTCAAATCAATATCAAATATTGAATCCTTTTATAAACCTCAAAATTATGAAATCCTAATGTTATTTACCCCTACACCTTGAAACAAATGCAATAACAACTTCATATTATTCCATACATCTTCCAAAAAATGTAAGCATTATTTCATTACAATCGATCATTTCCAACTATGTTAAAAATGACTAATAATAATAGAAAAATGGTAGAAGACTTTTCTTATCATGCTGTCTAAAGTATTACATCATTTTTCAAGACCTCACCCCTCTGTTGCTTGCTCCTAGCTTTCCTTGGACACAGTTGATAATTCAGAAGTTTTCATTTCTACCCATATTGGCAGGTGGGTAAAAAATTGAAAATTGACAGAAGGCATTTCTGAATAAGTAGGTGAATGCAAAATGACAGGGAGTTTACCCTAAACTAATGATGATGGTACAATTAATTGTATATGCAAAAATCTTAGACTATGCATCTTTGCATGAAATTCTAGATAACTTTTCTCCAGGAATCAATGAGAGAAGGGGTGGGGGAAGCAAAAAAGAAATATGATACTCTAGAGAGTCACTCAACAGGAAGGACTTCATCTTGCAATATTTGGCAATAAGAGTCTGAACTCTCTGGTTTTTCTAAAAAGATGTGTGACTATTTCATGTTTTATGACATTTGTACACCAAAACTTACTTGATATGGTTTTTAAGTGGACAAATGATGAAGGCGGATGTGTATACAAATGTGACTACAAAGAATGTAGAAATGAAAACATTCATTGAATTGATCATTCTAATTGAGTTTATAATCTAAAAATGAAATGAAATCTAAAATCTAAAAATGAAAACGTTTTACAATTATGGAGCAAAGAAGTCAACCCCCTTTTCAACACAAAATGAGGAGCAATCAAAGGTTTCAAAATATTCTACAGATATATTTTGATGATGCAAATGCAAAAACTAGAATAATTTCAAAATAAAGCTAAAATCTATTAGAAATAGATTTGAAATCTGAAATTATATGTTTGTTTCATACATGACAACTGATAAACAGTTTGCTGTATTCAAAGGATGCTAATCATTTAGAGTATATATATCCTGAAAATGTGGGATAGAAATTTGGTTTGCTATGGTTAAACTCATATTCAAATTTCTAATGAAGCTGTTTTTCACAATCCCTTTATTCTTATTTCTGAAATTTATAAAAAACTAACAGAATGTTTACAGAAACAATGATGACCACTTCTGAGCATATGAGAGTTGAAAGTCCTTGTACCACATTGGACACCCACTTATAGCCCTTCTAAATTCCTATTGGTGGGGACTTATATGTTCTCATGATTTTGGCTACCTAAGCTCCAAATTTCTACTTTTCCATGTGACAGCTCCTATCTTTTCATAGACCAGTTAGTTCTTACTTATTTCTGGCTCAATACAGTTAATAAAATTTAAAGTACTAGTGAAGCTTAAGTTCTGATTCCTACTAAGTTACTTGCTCTCTGAGAGCCTGGACCTGTCATTTAACTTCTTAGTTTTAATTACTTATCGACATAGAGACGCTTCTTTAAAAGACTGTCTTAATAACAACATCTAAAAATTGCAGTGTTTTAACTTACAAACCACTCTTCACTGACATTCTCTCAAAAGTCCATTCAATAAATAAAGACACTGAGGCAAAGAGGCTAAGAGACTTGCTTCTATCCTCTGGCCTTAAGTCTTCTGTTCTTTCTACATCATACTGTACATGATCAAAGAATATATGAAAGTAGTTTATGAACTACAGTTATAAAAATATATAAAACTAAAACAATTCCCTAAAAACCAAAACTTTCTCAAACTCTTTATTAAAAGAGCAAATGTCATGTCTTTACATAACTAACCCTATCATTTACAATTTATAACCCTAATGTCTTTTTCAATCATGAAGTCCTTCTGGCTTTTCCTTTTAAAGACCTTAGCATTCAACAGCAAGTACCTTGTCCAAGTGCTGCATTCTGAAACGCACATGGATACATTCTTAGAGGTTCTCCACCAGTCACTAAAATTAACCTCCCCACTCCTTAAGAGAGATAACTTTTATTTCTCCACTCTAATCAAACCAATGAAACCATTTTTAAGTTGTTATCATCCTTAAACCCTTTACTATAGAACTGCAATCAATTTATTTCCAATATACATCATAGTTGTCTTAGAATTAATGTAAAACACTGTCAGCTTTTTCCTAGAGTTGGATTCCGTGATTTAATATCTACTTTTAATATCTTTAGAAAATGTTTTGTTACCTCCATTTAACATGTGAGGTCAGTGGAGAGAGAAAACTTTGTCTTTTACATGCAGCAGACGTTCATCAGAAACTGCTGACTACATGTTATTGGATTGTCTACAATTTAGATGTATATTTTAAAGACAAGTAAACTCCTAATTACCAGCAAAAATAAAATTCATATGAAAGGATATTAAAAAAAAATCACTATCAAGGGATACATTACTATACTGCACTATAAAATCAGCAACATAATTTTAGATAGTGTGTGAAGGTTCTAGGTTCTGATCTGATTTGCAGCTATAACCATCTCCTTCCAAGATAATATTTATAGGACAAGGTCTTGAAGGTCCTCATCTAGTTTAAACTGTAGAGATTTACTTTTCTGTCAAGTTAAAAGTTAAAAGATTACTTCTCCGACTCTAGCAAAACAGGTGCCTAACATTCTAGCAATCAAGTCACAGTTAAATATCAGGAAGAAAACAATGTAAAAGCTTTTAAAATGGGACCCAGGTTACTCAAAAGCCTAAATTCCTGAGAAGTACTGGATTACTACTTTAACAAGATCTAAAAACCAGTTGTAGGGAGGTACAGAGGGCATGAATAAATCTCACTACACAACAACTATTTATCCTCAGATCTTTACTGATTACCTATCTTTCTGCAAAGCTAAAATCAATCTCCTTAAAGTGCTTTACTATTCTGGACCTAATCCCACTACTCACTCAAAGCAGGGTGGGTCTTAACATCATTTCATTTGCTACAACTGATGCACTAGTAGTATTCAGTTAGCCTTTTAGGGTTCACAAAGATATTATGAAAGGCACTGACCTACACTATAGAAAATAAAGAACTCCACACATTCAGAAGCTAATAGTACTTTAAACAACAACAGAAATAAAACTAGATGTTGTCCCTTTACCATCCTGGAAAATGACCTTTCCAGGTTCCTCTCCCCCAAATTTCCCCCACCAACGTTCCTAATGCATTTAACCACCTAGTTTTACATTTACTGATTACTGCGGTCTCCATGACGATGCGCTAGGAGCTAGGACAAATATACAAAAAGGCCTAGGATAAGCATATATTTATTCACCTTGAATTCCCAACACCTGGCATAGCAATACGTATTTAATGCATTACTTTAAGGAATGTTTTCCTATTTAAACTGACAAGGTGGGGGAAGGAGAAGAGAATGAGGGAGAGGCGAAGGAGAAGGGGGATAAGGGGAGGGAGGTACTTGACATCAAAACCGACTTCCACGTCTCAACGTCTAAGACCTTGCGCCAGTACCACATTACTCCCTGGAACAAATTTTTCGTTCAATACTGTTCTGGGTTTACTCTAACAGTAACAGTTAAGTTTGATTCTTAACAGTATACTGCAAAAAATAATTCCGGCCAAAAATCTACCCAAATTGCGCGAACATCTTGACACTGTCACAAGAGCATTTTAAGCCTAAAACAGGGAGGGTCTTGCCGTCTCTATCCTTAGTAGAAGGGCCCGACTAAGAGGCTTCATCAGCCCCTAGAGGCAAAGATGATCCCTAGACTACGCTCTTTCACTTCTCGACCATTCAGGATTTCCTTCTTCGATTCTCCTCCCTACGCAAGTCTCTGGCTCTTACTACCGTGTGGACCTCCTCAGACCTTTTGACCCCAATTAAGAAAGGAAGATATTTCCTATTCCTCTGAGTCCCCCTCCTTCGCACCCACCCCGCTTTTCAGGCCACCTCAGGCGCTTCCTCCTTCTACATCCACCCTTCCCGGCCTACCCCAACATTTAGTAGGCCTCAACCCTCATCCACTCCGCCATTGTTATTTACATCGTCGTCTGGGGAGGCTGAACGCTTCACCCCGTGCGGATGGGACTCCCTGGCAGCACTCATCGTTGCGGGGACCCGACCGCAAATGCCGAACCGACTCGCCGTTCTCCTTAGCCGCGGCACCAGCAACCTGCGATCTGCCACCCGACCAAGCAGCGCCACTCCAGAACGCAGAGCCCCTCGGGTCTTCTCTGCCACAGTCGTCACGCCGCGGCCGCTCGCGACTCCGGAGCACTCTGGGAGTTGTAGTTTTCTGGCTCACTCCATACTGGCCTTAACAAGAGAGAAGACTAGTGACTAGAACTACAATTCCCAGGAAGCACAGCGGCGCAGCTCGCACTGTGTGGCGGGAGTGTCCTCTGAGGCCCCGCCTTCTTCGGCTGGTGAAGGGAACGTTCCCGCGGGTGGGTATGGCGGTGAGCGTTGTAGCAAAGCTTCGTCGCCACAGAAAGAGGCTTAGACTGGGTTTTCGCTTTTCACTGTGAGATACTACACATTGGCATATGTGTCCGTCATAGTTAAGCACCTAGTTTTAAATGCAATGTTTGAGGTTTGAATCCTCACGAATAACCTCCCAAGACAAAAAACCTTGGAAAAAAAAAATGGCTTCTGTTTCCACCCTGGTGTTCTCTATTGCTCGTAGGGATTTCTAGATGACCCCTGGGTGCAACTTTCTAGAAGATTCTGATGAATAGTTTGCTGCTTTTTCATTCTCACCGAAATGAATTCAATATGTTGTAAAAGTGCTGGTTAATTGGCTGTTATTGAAACTAGGGTCCACCTGAGGAAACCTTGTAAGCTTTCCATAGGGCTTTGTGTGAAGTGGGAGTGACATGCGACTTCCCTGCTGGTGCGCAGGCATTATATTTTGGGGGCCTTCACCAAGTGAAGTCCCTCTCCCACATAAAGCCATCCTTGGTTGTCCTCACAGATTGCAATCCCTTTTTTTTTTTTTTTAACATGTCTACAGCACCTGGTCTTCCTAGGTGGTCTCCCATCCAAGTACTAACCAGGCAGAACCCTGCTTAGCTTCCGAGATCAGACAGGTTTGGGCTTGTTCAGGCTAGCATGGCCGTAGACAAAATATATTTTTTAAACTGAGGTGCAATTCACATAACATAACCATTTTAAAGTGTATAATTAATTGGCATTTAGTACATTTACAGTGTGCAACCATCACCACTATCTAGTTCCAAGCAGTCCTTCCCTATTCCTCCATCTTCCCAGCAACCGCTAATCTACTCAGCGTTGTATCTAAAGGTACGATTTGGATACTGAACATTTATTGAAGCACTATCGAGGTGTCTGAATTTTTAACCAGGCCTGAACCTGGCTTCCTTCAACCCTAGCATTCTTGTCAGGATCCTTGTCCTTACTGGGAAGCTTTCGGACCTTGGTCAAAAATATGATTTTTTTAAAAACAAAAATCAGTAAGTGGAATGACAGTACAGATCTAGTGTGCATTTTGGTACTGAAAGCAGCCTGTGAAACTGCTCAACTATTGGCTTCTGAACTCAGCAATTACTCTAGTTTGGCTGCCTGTGTAGAAATAGTATTTCTTTCCTGGAGTTCAGTTACTGAAACATTTATGGAACTGTGACCAATGGAAGAGAGCTTTTTATGCAGTCATATATCCAAATTCTGCTCCTGTATTTTGGAAGCAAAGGAATAACAATACCAATTAGGATAATATGGAAAAAAAAAAATAGGGTAGGGGCATATTTTATAACCAAGTAAGGTCACCTTACTCAAGTAGTTCTATAGTAAGAATAAACCACAAATCGAGGAGAAGGGTAAATCCATGAGAGGGAAAAAGTATTTTTTGGAAATGGTTGCTTGCTCTTTACTATGAATTAATATATGTTGCCTACTAAATAGGATTCTACAAAGGTTATATAATTACAATGAAAACAGTTAAGTTACAGATTTTTCTAGGATAAACTACATTTTGCCTCCAAAGGACTTGACAGACTATTAATATATAGTTTAGAACTCTAAGCTTTATTACCAGTAAACAAATGAGTTGCCTGAATAGGTAATTTAGACTGCTAAAAGAATTCTGAAATAAAAGATCAATCAGCTAGTAGTTATTGAATAGTTTTAACTTTAGTAAAAGTCTAGAAAAGCTTAATGAGCTAGCAACCTGTTTTTTATTTCTTCACCAGAATTGTTGGCACCTGTATGGCTAAATCTTCAAGTTACAAAACAAGATCACAACCCCAAAGGTAATATAAGAGATAATAAAGACTGATTATATCATCAGATTTTACCTGGTTTCGTATCTATACGTGAGGATGAAATTATACAGTGTAATAGAAATGCATATATGGCATAGAAACTGGGTAATACTGTTGTTATTACAAAACAAGAAGCTACTCTACCAGGTGTAACTCTGAAATTTCTTCTTCCGGATTTGGACTGTTGCATCATTATTTCTTCTTTCTGTACCTTCTAGCACAATGCTGGTCATGGAGTAGTTAACAAGTTTTTGCGAATTAATATAAGAAGTATGAAATTATATGATGTAGCAGTGGTATCTCATATAAGGTCTAGAAACTCAGCAATGTCCTTTCTTGAATAATAAGGGAGAGGAGACCGTGTTGCTAATAGAACTTTGGAATACCTTCTTGAGAATAGAGACCATGCTCTCTTCATTTTTTTATATACCCAGTGCTTAGCATATGTAGTAGGTGTTCATAAATGTTTGTTGAGTGCATATATTAATATTCCCTCAACTGAGGGTAGTCATAACTGAGCATAATTAACAAAACTAAAGAAGAAATAAAAACTCTGATAAGTATGTTCTGTACAAAAAACCTGCTACTGAGACTAAAAAAAAATTCCTGGAGCCATAATTATAAATATTATTTAATATTCACTATGCACCATACACTTTGCTAGGTGCTTTTTATAATTAATCTCAAAACTTCACAGTAATTTACAAGAAATTTTATAGATAATGAAGCTTAAGAAAAGTTAAATACTTGCCCATAATCATATAGCTAATAAGTGAGTGGCTAAGCTGGGATTCATTCCTTAAGTCTGTACAGCTCAAAAACCCATACACTTTCTAGTGACAATATAGTTCAACATTTTTACAGGGTGCTTAGTATGTGTTAGGCAGTGTGCTAAATTTGAAGAAAACCAGAATAGATCATGTATAGTCCCTTACCTCGAGGAGTTTACAGCTTGGTTGGGCATGTAAAAGAGACATACTTGGGGAGGGGGAACATTTAAGGATAGAATGAGGAAGAAGAACCTGAGATTAAAAGATATGGAAGTAGAATGAGGAAAGTAAAGAAATATCATTGAAGCCAAGGAGAAAATAAAGAATACATTGTTCAACTGTGGGAGACTAAGAGATGAAATTTACCTCGAAGCTAATTTTAAAGGCTTATTATAAAGGGAATTGTAGGGCCTAATATAGAATCCTGAAGGTAAGGTATAAAAAAATAAATGTTTGTGGTGGATGATGGTTGATGATGATGAGATGAATTCCCACTCTGTTGGACATGTAGAATTGCCACTGTACTACTGTAATTTACAATGTGGTGTCATAAATATTGATGTGGTTTTATACATATCTAGACACTCAAAAGAAGAATGAAAAAGGAGATGAGAATGCATTTTCTTATAAAATTGCTTCAGTAAAATTATTGATGCATATCTTCTGGTCATAAGGTCTATATATAGTTAAAGCAGCAGTATTCCAATAATTGTCAAAGAGAAATTATGAGTTTAAATGAATGGGTGATATCCATTTTTTTTAGGGAAAATTAGAATTAGAACGTTCTAGTTTTTTTCTCCAAAATTACTTTGTTGTTCTTGCCAATTATAAAAGTAATATGTCAATATGAGGCAAGCTAAATAAATTATGGTAAATGTATACAGCAGACTACCATATACCCATTAAAAAGAAAGAGGAAGTCTACAGCCATGCCACCCTGAACAAGCTCAATCCCGTCTGATCTGGGAAGCTAAGCAGGGTTGGGCCTGGTTAGTACTTGGATGGGAGACCACCTAGGAAGACCAGGTGCTATAGGTGTAAAAAAAAAAAAAATAAGGGATTGTAAACTGCCAAGGTCCTTGCAATCTGTGAGATCAACCAAGGGTTGCCTGCCTAAAAAAAAAAAAGAAAGAAAAGTAAAAAAGAAAAAAAAAAGAGGAAGCTCTGATCTGAGACAGTCTCTAAGATATATTGTTGAATAAAAAAAGCAAAGTGGGGAACAGTGTATATTGTATACTGTATTTGTATTAAAAATACAGAAAAGAATCAATTTGTATGCATAAAATATTTCCACAAAGATACCCAAAACACTGATAATGTTTGTAGACTCCAGCCTTGGGGTGATGGTGGCCAAGGGGCTGAGGTACACTGGTAGCAGGGTGACTTTTCACCAAACTTTTTGTATCTTTTGAATTTTAAATTATCTTACTATATTAACCTATTAAAAATTAACAATAAATGAATAAATAAATTGGATTTTTAAAAAGTTGGTCACAAAGATAAACAGACTCACATAAAGATGAAACAAACCCTTTGTAGAAAATGTAGAAAATAAAATATAAAGAAGAAATAAAAGTCATTTATACTGTCATAGTTTTGAGGTAACCATAGTTAACATCTAAATATAATACCTTCTAATCTTTCTAGTGATTTGGAGGATGCACATTTAGTTTTAATACTATTAATGGTTACATTTTACTTTTTATTCCAATTAAGAGTAAAACAGTACCTCAGTGTCTTGTGACCCTATATGTGTGAAGAATTTGGCACCTTTACTTTTGCTGTTTTTCTCTCCTTCACTCCCAGGATAATATAATTTAGAGTTTAGGTATGGGTTATTGTTATTGTATCAATTTTTATATTATGTATATTTTTCATCAATATTTTGACATATGCCTTCAGGCTTTGTAAACAACATCTTTATTGAGCTGTAATTCATGTACCACATAATTCACCTATTTAAAGTGCACAATAAAATTGTTTTTAATATACAGTTGTGCAGCCATCACCACAATCAATTTTATAGCATTTCTATCACCCCAAAAAGAAACCCAGTATCCAATCAGCAGTCACTCCCTATTTTCCTCCCACTTGCCCAGCCCTAGACAGCCCCTGATCTGTTTTCTGTCCCTATAGATTTGCTTATTCTAGCCATTTCATATAAATGGAATCATACAATATGTGATCTTTTGTGATTGGCTTCTTTTGCTTAGCATAATGTTTT